GGAAGGCCTTTTAAAAATCGCATTATTATCAATGGAACTATACCCCTATTTTAGGGTTAGGGATGTGCACCAGGGTAGGGTTAGGGTTAGAAAAAGGAGGTGTCCTGGTTTGATTCTGATGGTTGGAATGTGTTCAGAATGGACAGAAATGATGAGATGCGCAGAAAAAGCTACACAAGGAAGGCTATTTCAAAATCGCATTATTATCACTGGAAATATACCCCTCTAGTAGGGTTAGGGGTGTGCACCAAGGTAGGGTCAGGGCAGTGGTGGCCCAGCTATGGCAGACGTGCCACAGTCGGCACACAGCGCCCTCTCTGTCAGCACACGAGCCGTGTCGCCCCAGCGTCGCCGCAGCATCCGAGCATCGGATACCAGAGCCCAGTGGGGCCGTGCGCATGCTCAGATAGGAGTAGCGGCGCCATGGGATGATGCCATGAGCCAAGACCCATTAGCCGCAACTTGTCTGAGGTTTTTCAGGCCAGTCAGTGCACTGCCAAGGATATATATATTTGCTTGAGCTGGGTGTGAGTTGTTTTTTCCAAACTAAAATCTCAGTTTTCAGGTTTTATTGCCGTGTTGGCACTTTGCGATAAATAAGTGGGTTTTGTGCTGCTGTGTGGGCACTCGGTCTCTAAATTTTCACCATCACTGCTCTAGGGTGTTCTGTGCGCCACAGCACATGGGAAATGTCCCCGAGTTCTACTGTTTTATTTGCATGGAGCTTGCAAAGGGGAAGATCCCTGGGTGACTTTGGCTCATCCCTGGATCTCAGCCTAGCCTCCCTCACAGGGTTGTTGTAGAGAGGATAAAGTGGAAAGGAATTTAGCAAGCTGCTTTGGGTTCTTTGCCAGAGGAGGAAAGGCAGGAGGTAGTGCAACAAAATCCCATTTATGCATTTATACCTTCTTCCTTACCAACCTGCCTTTGTACTGTGGTGGGGTTTAAATGGAATGAATGAAGAATCTGCCAGCTGATAAAATATATAAACTGACAAACTACAAGTCAAACATGAAGACGCCAATAAAAACACATCTGTAAAAAAGAAATGTGCAGCTCAGAAAACACTCGGGAGAGCTGGGGATAATGGAAAAAGCTGTTTGTGGAGTGGAAAAATTTGGTCACAAGAGGTTAGGGAGTGCAACCTTGACTGGGAAACGGATTTAGATGACAGCTCATTAACCTTTACGAGCCACCGCTTCAGCAAGAGCGCCACCGTACCTGAGGTCACGTCTTGCTTCGTTGGCCACCAGGTCCCTCTGTAATTGGAATGTTTTCACCCTCTGTATTGCATTGCCGAATCTGGCCACTTCCCAGGAGAGGCTGGGTGTGTTGGGAAAAGGCCTTGGAAAATGGCTCGAAACCGTCACTGCTTGTTTTTATAGTCACACATCAGCAGTGCAGGACCGAGATGTTTTGCTGGCTGGAATGCTCGCAGGGCGTCCTCGGCAAGCTCCACGCTTTAAAACCTCCGTTGCAGCGTTCAGCGGCCGATTTGCGCCATTGTGAATTCCCTCGCAACACTCAGTGGTGTCTGAGGAAGGCTGCTTCGGCTTGCTGCGTGGACACCTGCCGTGTGCGGCACACACAGAGAAGTCGTATCGTTCTGGCCTAAGAGGCTCGTGAGTGAAGGGAGTGAAGGGCAGAAACTGCCTCTGGTCCCCTGCCTGCTCTGATCCAGTGTGGCGGGAACGACGTGGCGTTGAAATTCCCCTGGATGCATCGAGATTCCCTTTGCTTGCCATCTCAGGCTGACGATACTTGAAGGCAGCTAAATCACCTCTCTCTGGCTCTGTGCACACATTTTGAATGCTGTGGGCACTCTCGCAAGATGGCTGATGGGGGCTTGCCCACTCATAAAAGGTGGCGGCTGCCAATTGCACGATGCGCATTTCCCCAAAGGCAAGAGGATGAGACTAGGGGAAAAGCAACTTTCCCAGGGATGTAAGCAGAGGGTGGAGGCATGCTCCCTGCTCTGGAATAGAAAACCTCTCTTTTGGATCCAAAGAAAGGTGGCACTGTTTCAGCAGGTTTTCCTCCATCTTCCTCTACCACCATCTTCATAATCTCCATCTCTTATGAAGTTAAATAAAGCACAGGAGGGGCAGGCAACCTGATGGGTGTCCATGGGGCACCACGTTGGAGACTCTCGGTCTAGTTATAAAGGTACAGATAGTGCTTAAAGTGGCATGACAGCTGTCTCCCAACTCAAAGCGTCTTTTCCCCCCAGTGCAGGTGTGGCTGAATCTAATCCAGCGAAACCCTCTCTCGTGTTTTCTCCCCTTTCAAAGCACCGCTGCGAGCCAAAGGCTGTGGCTGAGCCCATGCCTTGCATGCAAAATGTTCCAGTTTCCCCCTGGATCTCTCTCCGTAACTGTGGCTCTCTGCACGTGCTCTTTAAATCCCTGCCTGTGTTTGGGACCCAGATCAGACGACACTGAAAAGGGAGCAGCAAGGTTATACGGGTGAAAGAAACGCCAGAGGAAAATGATCTCGCGTTTTTGTCTTGCTGTTGTGTTTAGCAACATAACTTTATTTCTGTCTACTTTCTGTTGACTTTCATTCCAGAGGTCAAAATGAGGCTGTTTGGAGAATATCTCCAGATCTGAATTCCTTTGAGAAGAAAGAAAGACAGAGCCCAACTGTTTGCTGAGTCGTTAAAAGGCTTTGGTTACGTCAGGATCTGGCTGCTATCATCATATCATTCCATCCCATCCCATCCCATCCTGGAGACCAAGACTTCAGCTGACTGCATTCCCGCCCTGACCTTGGATATAACCAGCCCCTTCCGTCCTTGGATGCCGGACTCCGAGTTGGCTTTCCGCCACTGAGTGCGTTCTCAGGTCAAAGCTGGCCTGGGGACTTGTTGCAGCCAAACCTTTTCTGGAAAGTGAAGGGACCACTTGCCCAAGACATGAGAATGGCGGTGGAGAGTGAGAAACGCTGGCCGGGGATCAGGGTTCTGCTGGTGATGGGCGCTTTCCTCGCCTCCGTGTTGGCTCCAGGTAAGAGGGAATCAATTGTTGCAAGCAGCGCTTATCTATGGAGTAAAGGAGGGCAGAGGAGGGCTGGGAAGGGTCTGTGCATCCATTCCCTGGCATCTTCCCCCGGGGGCTGCTCAAACTCTGCTGCTGCATTGGACCATGAAAAGAGGTCCCCCAGCCCAGCTTCATCCCTGAAAAGTACAGTGGAAGAGCAGGATCATGTGCTCCCGCCGGAATTTTCACCCCAGTCTTTGCTGCATCCATGGGTGGAGGAAGGGGTATGGGGGGGTGGCTTGTGGGGGGCCGGCACATTTGTGCTCCCTTGCCCTAGGCTAGGCCCCCTTTTCCAAAGGCTCTGGGGCAGGCGTTCCTCTTGGGGGTTCCTCCAATGGGCTGGGGTCTCCTGAGCTCTGGCTCCCCGGAGAGTGGCTTCCATTGCCCCTTGGGGTAGACGGGACTCGCCTCCTCCCTTTTGGTGGGTGGGTGATGACTTAGACTTGCAGGGTGAGGTCTGGGTTGGTACTTCGAGGCTGTAATTTAAGGGCAGGGCATGCCTTTTCAATCAGCCCCGTGAAATCCTGAGCTGAGCCAGTCCAGGTTCCGTTGGTCCTAATATGACATGCTCCACATGTGCTTGCGTTCCTTTCCTGGTTGTGGGGTGGCGGGGGGGGGGCGCTCGGGTTGGGCAGATGGTCTGGGGAGGGCAGAGCCCTGGTTGTGCATCTGGGGCTCTGCGTTTGCTTCTGAGGTGGTCGTCTGGACTTGGACAGCCCCGTGCCTTGCGCATTTGGGGCTCACCTTGCAATCTTATGCTCAGTTCACTTGCATCCAATGGGTTTTCCTAGTGCAAATGTTCATAGGATTGGACTGGTTGTCTCGTTTGCACCTGGAGTTTTGCGCTGCATCGCTGAGTCTATATGGTCGGTGGTGCAGGCACTAAGGGAAAAGATGCTCCTTAGTTTTGCAGCACAGGGGCCAAATTCCGTATTTGTAGTTTCTAATGGAAACACAGCACAATTCCATTTGTACTGTAAACGTAACACTATTACATTTGCACACGATTCATGCATGTCACTTAAAAATGAACGGCTCCACTGGTACAAAGAATAGATTTGCACATTACTGCAGCCCTGCTTGGCTCCTCCTGCTAGTGGGAGTGGCTAAACAAACCAGGGCTTGGTTTGTGTTATGTCTGAACTGGGAACTCTGGCTTGTCCCTCTTCCAACAAGAACTGCAAGGTTGTAACTCAAAAACAAACTCTTGCGTTGCAGGTTGGGACTTGTTTGCACACCATGGAAATTCACAGGGAGTTGCTTACCGGTTTATTGCTAACCATTTATTGTTATTATTGTTATGATTGGCATTATTCAGCAAGCAGCCTGAAGTGCTACCAGTGTGTGGGTATGTTCCATGAATGTGTCCAGTCGGAGCAGCTGTGCATGCCCAGGGATCGCTCCTGTTTTTCATCCACCATCAAACTCTTCTGTAAGTGCCGCTCAGAGGACAAAAACTAGCAAAAAACCCCACATCTTCCCCTCCACATATTTCCAGTTGTGGACTTGTTAATGCCTTTTTTTAGCACCAAGCAGAGGCAGCATACTAATATCCCAAGAGGAACTAGAAAGGGGCAACTTTTTTGGAATATTCTTTTTGTGGAATCCGTGGAGGTTCGTTTAAAACTTCAAAGGAGCATAATCTTCGTTTTAAAGTTATTTTTACTCTTGTATCAACTTTCGCAATTAAAAAGTTCCCAAGGTGACCAAAGGTTTCGATTAAACACTGAATTCCTAAAAGATAAAATCTACAATTAAAGTTATCAGAGGGAAATTAAAAGATGTCACTCTAAGAGGGTAAACAAACCATTAAAAGCTGAAGCAGGCAAGGACAAAGAAGAAACGAAAGACACTCACATCCCAGTAATATGGTATTAAAACGTTCCCGGCAACTTGCTTGCAGCTGGTATGGGAGGAACTTTGCCGGCTGCTTCTCTGAGCTCATGAAAGTGACCTTGGAGAAGCCGCGAAGAGGATTTTCTGCAGGGCAGGGTGTGGAGGAGACTGGCTGTGCCAGATGTCACAGATCCTTACGTCCTTCTAGTCTCCTTCCATCCATCTGATGCACTGCAGCTAGTTGGCCAAAGCTCATTTAAAGCGAAATAAATAAATAAAAAGTGTAGGGCAGGAGGGGTAAAATTCCTCTCCCCTCCTCTCACCCTCCATAGGATTCTGATAATTCTCCCCGATCAGAAGCTTATGGGCATCCCAGCTGGATTGGGCCCTAAAATAAGTTTGAGCCTTCCCTCTTCCCACAATCCCCGGGGTTCCGTGAGGAGAGAATGAGCAAGTGGCCCCAGTGGGGGATTCTTGGCACTGAATAGCTCCCAGAACTCTCCGGGAGAAGAGTACCAAGCCTGCCTAAAATGGGGGGATGTCCATAGTGTGGCTAAGCCTTCCGATTTGACAAAATGCCTCTCCGCCTCTCATTCTGTGTACAGGCCCTGACTGTTCTGGCGGCTGAGTCTCAATTCCTAAAGTCAGGGTCATCCACTTGAGAAGGCATAGTGTCTTCTTTTACACAGGACAGTCCTCTTTTTAAGGTCTCTCCTGCCTGATTCTAGTTTAAGTTAAAATGAAAATCAAAAGAGAGAAAACGGTTCCCCTTCCAAAATTAGCACTGAGAAAGAGGCTGGAGAGACAGGCAAGCAGCTCATCTTGCCCCAGTCTTCCATAATGTGGCGTTTCAAGATTCATTATAATAATATTGCATCTGTGCACGCAACTGATAGTTTGCAAAGTCTGACTATTTCAGCCCACTGCCCTTTTCTGATTCTCTGCCTCGAATTTTCTTCCAGATTCAAACAACTACACTGGCATGTTCATGCTGCCAGGTGAGTTAGCCAGTGCTTCGTTTTTATTTCTATTTAGCTGAAAGATGTTGGCTGTACCATCCAGAGGCTAACATCTGCCGAGGTGCAGATGTGTACTCCGGTCCCAGCTGTGTATCACCTGAGTGCGGTTACTCAGTAGCGAGAGACAGGCACTCTGCACATGTTCAGAGGTGGTTTTCTGCACTATCTTCTTCCATATTCAATTGCTGTGGTTTGACTCTAGAAGGAGGCTTGGAAGGGGCGTGCAGACGAGCTCTGCCCCACTCGTTGTGTGGGAAGCATTTTCCTCAGTGGGAGGTATGCTTCTGTGTGCAGCTAAAAGGAAAATTTTCCACATTGGAGTCCGGTGCCGGGAAGAGGTGGGGAATGTTGAGCCTGCAGGCCAAATCCAGCTCTCGTGGGGTCCCAATCCTGATGGGCACAATTTCCCCTACCTTCGGATCATTTCTTACCTTTTATGCATTTTCCCATTCTAACATGTGAAAATAGTCTCCTAAGGATCCAGAACTGGCTGCAAGAGCTGCAAGGTAAACTATGGTGACCTCTGTTCGTATCCAGCGAAATCGTTGCTTGTTGCGGTCTCCAAAGACAGTGACCCCTTTTGCTTTCACATATAGCTGCATCCCCACCTGAGTTAGAAAGGTGTTATGCAAATTCTGTTCGGTATCTCCTTGAAGCGCACAGAACAATTTCCAGTCTTCCAATCATTTCTGGGGGATTTTACATTAAGTAGCAGTCTAGTGAATGAAAATGAAATAGTCAGTAAACCCCCACCTAGAGAGAGAGAAAGAGAAGTGACCGAGAGAACAATGGTTGTGCGTGTGTGTTTTATAAAAATGTCAACCTGGTGAGGATCAGATGCATCCAGGGACAACTTGGAAGTGTCAGGGAGACGGACGGGATGGGTACGTCCTGTCCCACGCCCCATGGAGCTTTCTCCTGCCGGGGCTTTGGTCCTAAGCTTTGCAGCTTCCTGGCTGTCTTTGCTTGCCTAAGCCCCTGCGTATCTGCCCCCAGACCTGGAAATAGCCGAGTACGTGATGAAGGGCTGCTCCGCAGAAGCCGTGTCCAACCGCACGGCCAACGTGTACTCCGAGGACGACCGGGAGGTGCACAATACGTACTACTGTGACACAGACCTCTGCAACATCCGCTTCACCGGCGGTGAGTGAGCGAGCGCGCGTGCCGGGGCCACGTGGCTGCTCTTGGTGGGGGGGGGGGTGGCTGAAGTGGAGGTGCAGTGGCGTCAGGGCCCACGTGGAAGCCGAGCTGCACCTCAAGCTGAGCAGGGATGCCACGGATCTGCCACCTACCTCAGACTTCCCTGTTTCCTCTGGGCTTAGCAGTGGTGGCCCCCGATTGCAGAATGAGGTCCCCGCTGAGGTCTGCCTGGTGCCAACTTTACTAACCTTTCAGTGCCAGGAAAAAACCACCCTCTACTTCAAGGTGTTCAGGTAGTTTTACTGTGGCCTGCTAGCTGTTCAGCCTGTCTTAAGATTTTTCTTCAGGTTATTGTTCTTTTGAATATATACATAAATCTGTTTTAAATTAGGTATTGTCAACTTTTTATGATGCTTTAATATGTTTTTAATCTGATGTAGTTTAATTGTTGTTTTTAATGTGCTGTTATGAACTGGTCAGAGAGTTTCAGCTGCTAATAGACAAATACATTAATTATAATTAATAATAAATCAATTTATTAAATGAATAGATTATAAAAATCATAATAGTGCAGTGAGGCAGGGAAGAAAGGGAAGACCAAGCCAGCTTTTGGGATCTATCCCAGGTCACCCTGTTTCTGCAGGCAGCTTCTGCAGAGTTTTCTATTTCCTTGCAAAGCAAGTGGAGAAGGTCCAGGGCAGCCCGCTGGAGGGACTGGTTGCAGGTATAGGGATGCGCAGCTTCTCTCAAAGTGCCTGTTAATCCACAAGGCCTCCTCCCACTTTTCCTTCCCAGCTCCGACAAGCAGCTCCCAGGTGGCCAACGGCATGGAATGCTACAGCTGCTTCGATCGTGGCACGGGGGACTGTGCCGAAGGGAATGCCACCCGGATCAAATGCTTGGGGGACATGAACCAGTGCATGGATTTTATTGGTAAATGGCGATGTCTCTTGGAAATGTCAGGGGGCGTTCAAGGGAGAAAGGAAGGTGAAAGCATTACAGGGCGGTGAACGGGAATTTCCACTCTTTTATTTTAACCGAGCGTGGGCACAGGCGAGGCGGTCTGTGCGGAATAAATTCCTGGATCATTTTGTGGTTGAAATAGTGCTTGTCCAGTGATGTTCCTGGCTGCAATCGCACCAGTACAATTCAAGGTGCTCTGTGTGTAAAGATCTGCTACACCTGTATGGAAAGTCATTTTGTGCACGGGCTTTTCTCCATGTTTGGATGCGCCATGTCAAAAGATTTCTGATGGGAGCCAATACCATCGAGGCTGTTTATTTGGAGAGACGGGAGTGTTGGCCATGGAGGCAGGTAGACCGTGGCTTAAGATGGGTAGCCAGATGTTGGGAGGATTTGTTGGCAGGACGGCGTGAGAGGATCAACAGCAAACCAGGACGTCTGGTTGGGGTTTTCCCAGTTTAAATGGATATTATACTGTGCAAAGTGGTTTTGTGGAGGGGAAGCCTCTGACAGTGCTTGACTGGGCTGCTCTTGCATCACAGGAGCATCTCTGGCCGTCACTGGCAGAGCTGCTCTGAAGCTGGATGGAGGGTTCTTGCCAACGCAAGTGCGAGGGCCTAGGATTGCAAGCACTTGCGAGTCGCCTCCCCAGAGAGGAAATGTCTCACCTGAAGAGGCTCAGCGCCTATGGCAATGTATCTGTATGGACACAAATTTAGAAATAATAATAATAATTTAATTGCACATCTCACCCCCGTGTGGGAGACTGGGCCTAGCTGACCTTTGTGCCTAAGTGCTAACTGGGATGGGCAACACTTTCTCGTCTTGCAACTGGGATGAGACGACGCCCCTTCAAGCAGAGGACTGTCCTCTCAGAAAGCCCCCTGTGAAAGGTGGCGACCGGCTGGTTGCTGCGAGGCCGCAGGAGGGCACAGCTGCCTGCAGGGCCTCCCCTCGCTGAGCTGCTTCTGAGACAGGCGGAAGGTACTTGGGAAACAAAGCCGAGGCAGCTCACCCCTAGGAAATGCACAAGAGAAAGAGGGACGATGCGATGCGAGGCAGTGCCCGAGGAAAGAGGGCTGAGGGGAGAAGGAGGGGAGGCACCCAGTCGGGGCTGAGGAAACCCGGGCAGTGCCGCTCTCCCTGCAGCCTGGGGTGACTCTGGGTCCCTTCCTTTGCTCCCCAGTGGTCAACGGTGCCTGGAAAATGACCTACCGGACGTGCGCCCTGGAAACCCTTTGCCGCCGTCAGTACATGATGCCCGAGCTCTCCGGGAGGCTGGAGATCGGCTGCTGCTCCACGCCGCTCTGCAACGACGGCCACCCGGGGCTCAGGAGCATCTGCAGCCACTTTTCGGAGCAAGGTAGCTGCGGAGAGGAGCTGGTCCAGTGCGCCTGGGGCTGGTTTTGGGAAAGGGCTGCGCGTTGCCGCGCGCGTCGGTCCTGCGGAGCCGTCCCGGGAAAGGGCAGTGGAGGCAAGAGGGAGGGATGGCGAGATGGCGGGAGGAAGCGGAGAGTTATGAGGAGGAGAAGCCGGTGGAACAGTCTGCTGGGCCTGACCAGGGATCCGGCTCCTTCCAGCATCCTTCTCACGCAGCGGCCAGCCCTTGCTCATGGACTTGGCCAAGGGTTGTTGTGTGGGTTGAAAGTGGGGCAGTGGAAAGAACCCCAAGTGCCTCAGAAATGTGGCGAAGAAATAAGACCCGTCAGAGGGAATTCACTTCGCCCAAAAGTGAAAATTTGGACAACCAGCGCTCTGAACCACAGTTCTGATTGCCGATTCTTGTTCTCCCCCAGGGATTAAGCAAAAGCCGGAGAACGGCCTGGAGTGTGCCAGCTGCTGCGACTCTGGGCAGGGCGAATGCGCACCAGGGAACTGGACTCACATCAAGTGCGTCGGAGACCAGAACATGTGTGTGAATGTCACAGGTAAGGCCTTGGTGCACCCGGGGGGGGGGGGGGGGATTCAGGCTATGCTAGCCTTCTCCAATGTGGTGCCCCAAAATCTGTCAGTCTACAACCCCCATCATCCCCAGTCAGCAGAAATATCATGCCTTTTCTGGAGGGAAGAACAAGGGTGCAGAAGAATAGGGTTGATGTTGCAGAGAAAAGAGAAGCTGAGCTTGTTTATACATGATGCCCAAAGGTCAAGATCTCTTCTTGCCGATGCCGGAGTGTAGACATGGAATAATCAGTTCAAGCGGCAACAACCCAGTTTCAGGCTGGACATCAGGAGGCGCTTCCTCACTGTCAGAGTAGCTGCTTAGCGAGGTGGGGGGCTCTCCCACACTGGAGACATTCAGAAAGAAACTGGGCAGCCCTCTGAGTGTAACTTGGTGTCCTGAAACAGCAGCGGGATGGACTTGATGGCCTTCATGGCCCCTTCCAGCTCAACTCTTCCATGATTCTATGATCTTAGAGCTTCTGTGTGCAGATGCTGTTAATACAGGACAGAAAGCCAAAGAGGTGAAAAACTTAACTCAGACTTAACAGACTTTTTTGCACGAGGTATTTTAAAAAGTGGAGCATACAGAACTGCTGCCCCAGCCCACAGAACCTGTGTGACTCAGGAAAAGCGAGTCCACCACAGGGTCATCTTCTGGGCCCTGAGAAAAGCAAACTGGTTTGAATTTGTGGCTGATTCTGCTGACACCCACACCCGTAAGCCCAGAGCCCCCATGAGGGCACGACCCCTCCTCAAAGCCACATGTCCTGGCCTTCCAGCCGCCTTCCTGGCCTGGCCCTTGGTGTCACGCCTGTCTTTGTTTCCAGAGGGCGGCCGGACCCTGCTGCGGGGCTGCAGCTTGGAGAAGCTCTGCTGGGAGAAGCCGCAGCTGCTGGGCCTGGACCAGGATGCTGCTCTCCATTGCTGCTCCAGCTCCCTCTGCAATGGCAGCTCCAAGCCAGAGGGAGGCGCTGCGCTGGTGCACCTGCTCTGGTCCACCGCTGCCCTGCTGGGCACCTGGATGCTCTGAAGCGTGGTGAGGCCGTGTGGGCTTCACGAGAAGGACAGAGTCCAGAGCAAAGCACAGAGAGCCGTGGCCGGCGTTGCCTGCAGATGTACTCTGGCAGCCGCGTCACATTATTCTGGGGTGCCACATGGTGGCTTCACAGGCAGCTGCAAGAGTGCCCTGCACATGGGTGCATTCTGTGGGAACGCATGCATTCTACGTGGCTGCCCCTTTGTTGATCCATACTCTGCATTTCCCTCTATAGGAAGCTCCAGGGAAGTCCTTTGGAGGGTGAGCTTTCTTGTAAGGAGGGACAACCCTGTTCACAAATTAAGCCGGGCAGGAGGAGTTGGCAGGAGTTCAGACAGGCAGTGTTGACCTGGAAAGCATCCACACACCCATGTGCCTCCTCTAGGCTGCCTCTTGCCAGCTCCCACAACGCTTTGGCCTCTTTCTCTTTCCCTGCCCTGCTTGAAGCCTCAAACCCGTTTCCTGCACCCCTCGCAGCACCAGGCCTTCTGTGTGTGTGTGTGTGTGTGTGCATGCACACGCATGTGCACAGACGTGTGTGGGAGCTGGCACATGTTTCAGGAACTGGCACAGCCGCTGGGCATCAAACGCCAGTGAGCAAGCTCCTTGGTGCTCACGGAGGCGGATGCCCTGGTTGTGTGCGCAGCCTCGTTGCGATCGCGCTCCCCTTCTGCTGGTTGTCGTGGGGGCTCGGGCTCGTGGGCACCGCCATCAACAGAAGGAAGAAAGAAGCGCTCGAGAAGGACAGAATGGATTTGTGGAATTCCTGGCCCCAAACCAGTTGGCACACAGCAGGAGGTGCGTGTGGGGTCTCTCCAGACGATGTTGGCCATTGCTCCCATCAGCCTGGCCCTCCATGATGGGGCTAATGGGAGCTGGAATCCAGCAATAGCTGGAAGGGTGCAAGTTCCCCACCCCTCGCACAAGCATGGTCAATTGACACAATGGCACCTTCTCCTTAGTTTGCTCCTTAGTTTGGAAACCTTCATTTTCCTCCACATCTTCCTTTGTCCCCTGTGTGTCAATGTGAAGATTGTAAGTCCCTTGCGGGGGCAGGAGGCACCTGTCCTCTTATCAGTTATAGAACGTCATGTACATAAGATGTAAAGTGCCGTGTATGTAATTTGTAAAGTGCTGTGTATATGGAGGACACAACAACAGTACCAATGTAGCAGAGAGAAGACAAAAGATGTGGGAGACAAGAGACTCCGTGCTGTTGCTGGCAGTACCTCATCACTGAAGCCTCCAAGGATCCCTGGTAGCTCTTTTCTTAACAGCATCAGTGCTGAGCAAGGACTTCCGGGCCCCCTTCAAGTCTGAAGAGGCCAGGCGTGGAGACTGGGAACCGCCCTGGTCTGCCTCTTGGGTGTTTGCTGGTGGTTCGTGGGGGTGAAGGGCTGGCTCCCAGTTTTGGGAGTGGCTGTTTTGGAAATGACCCTGCATCCTCCTGTGAAGATGGAGAGACACCCAAGCATCTGCACAGCAGAAAACCAGTTTCCTGGTACAGAATCTGTACTAAACAGGTCTCGTGATCTGGTCTTGGGGTGAGCATCTTGCGATGGCGATTGCATGGCCCACCTTGGCCTGGGAATTGCATCTGCCCTTGAGTGGATATTTGTGAACAGGGGCAAGCAGAGGTCAGTGACCCTTGCAGATTGCAAACCAGGCCCTGAGGTGCAATGATGCCCATCCCACCCCCTCAGAACCGGGTGGAGAGGATGCAGCAGCCGTTGGACTTTTCTGGTAGGCATTTACTGCCCCCTTGTGGCGGGAGAGTAGATTTGCTAGGAGAGGAGAAGCAAAGAGACCGTTCTCCTTTCTTTCCTTTTACTGCCCTCACAGCGCATGGAACTCTCATTCTGGGCCATAATTTGGGGACAAAATCAACAAGTTATTTTCACTGTGGTGCATTGGGGTGAAGCTACTGTTAGAACAGGCACATGGGCAGCCAAATAGGCTCTTGGAGCACAGGAGGGCTGTGTCTGGACAGGGGAGAAAGGGCTCCAGTGGCACCATAGGATGGAACCCATTGTCTGGGTTCACACGATCTGGGAAGGGATTCTCCTGTGATCGGCATCACGCGATTGGCTTCTTTGCCCTTTCCTGCACATGCTATTCCTGCGCCACCCCTTTGCTATAGTTCTCCATGCCAGGCGCAGGTGACAAAGTTGTCCAAAGCAGGTGAGAGGAAAGAAATCTCTTTTTGGAACCCTGTGCTGGAAAAAAGAAATCTCGGTATGTACCTTCTGACAGAGATGCTGCTGCAGGTATATTGAGTCTGCATCCTTATAACCCTGGGGGAACCCTGTTTTGCCCTCTGGATTGTTCAGCCTCGCCAAGGAGTTACAGGAAGCAAAGAAAAAGGGCAAAGGAAGCTTCATATGCATGTCGGATGAGAAAATTCCATGGGTCTGAGATCCATGTTCCTGAGCCCTGAGAATTCCAGCCAGAACCTATGTATTTCCAGTAGAAATTCCAGAGATTTCTACCCAGGGCAGGGTACCCAATATGTGTGAAATTCAAGTCAGCAAAGCTGTGGTCTGGCTTCCTCCGTCAAAATGGATACCCTGCTGTGACACTCACCTGCAGATTTTCATGGGGGACAGCATCTTAATTTGGAACCAACATGAGCAGAGGTGCTCTTGATCAACATGAAGGCACCCAATTATGAGTTTAAAAGGTCGCAGAGGATTTGGTTCTTTGCCATGTGTCAAGTTGAATGCACACCCTGGGCACAGACACAAATGCTGCTCTGAAGCCTGCCCCTCCTTTACTTAGAGAGGTGAGCTCAGTTTCCCCAGCAGAGCAGAGAAAATTATTTCTGGCTGGACCCGTCTAACCAGATTCTGCATCAGTGCATTGTATGGGAAGGGTGGTTTCATCTAGAGGTGAGCAGCTGTCAGAGATGGAAAGCTGATCTTTGCAGGGGCAGTCCTCTAAATTCTAAACCAGGAGCCTCTACGTTGATGTGGGCAGTTTCAGAAATGACTGGTGTATGGCCCTTGAAATGCTTTGGCTTACAACTCCCATCAGCCCGAACCAGAACAGTCCGTTATGTGGCATTCTGGGAGTTGTAGGCCACCATGCCTAGATGGGGCACAAGTCCCCGTCCATGCCAGCCACCTGCCAGATTCCCACCTGGAGATGGCACTGTCCTTTCTTTGTCTCTCAGGAAACAGCAGTGGGTACAGATCCGCACAGCATCTGTGCCAGCCCTCTGGTCTTCCTTCTTTTTATGGAGCAACAGAAATCCTGGTCTTTGTCTGTTTGCCCTGGGAGAGTCTACGGGTGAAAAAGACGTAACGCCAAAGAGTCACCACAGGGCTTCCGTGGCTTTTTAAATTAACTGCATCCACTGGGGTTGGGACACAACTGGAGAAGCTTGCAAGCCATCTTGGGTTCCTGCAAGGGGAAGAAAGATCAGGTATAAATGTAATGTAATGTAATGTGATAATGACTAAACTTCAGTAGTGGAGGGAGGTGTTTTCCCCCACCCACATTCCAACTCCACCCTGATTGTACTGCTCAAGCAAAGGAACAAACAACTATGCACGCAGCTGCCCATTCACTTCCATGCATGGAAGACACCCGATCTGCTGGCTCAGACAGGCCTCGCAGAGCACGGTCCCGCGTGCCAGGCTTTCAGCTTGCGATGGCATCTTGCGAGAGAGATTTGCAGCCTGAACAACTGGAATGTGGCTTCATTGTTTCGGTTCATGACCCCGAACAGAATGTGCAGGTTCTTTTAAGCATTTTGTTAAGGAAAGGATCGTGTGTGTGAAAAGACGCCCAGCTTATGACCCACCTCTCTCTCTCTCTCTCTCTCTCTCTCTCTCTCTCTCTCTCTCTCTCAAATATTGAGCTCAAGCTGCTTGGAGAAATCCCAGCTTCGGCTTTTCCTATGCTGTGTCATTTTATTTTTACTGGGGCCAGACTGCTTGGCCTCGATTTGCCCTTGGAAGGTCCCTCTGCTACGACCAGTTGCTAGAATAGGGAGGGGAGTAACATTGCTCTGGCAGTCTCTTCACGGTGACAGCCCCATCTCTGGGGGCTGAGACAGGCAGGAGGGCAAAGCGGCTGCAGCATGTTCCTTTTGGGGTTGAGCATTCCTTGTCAGGGCAAGGAAGAGCCCAGGCTGGCCCCGAACACCAGCCGGAAGCAGAGCAGTGGCAAGGGACATGTTTTGCCCTTGCATGCCAGGAAATCACCCCCCCCCCACCCCGGTCAGAGCACGGAAACAAGCACGTGTTTTTATTTCTTCCTAATTTCTTTCTCTTTGCATCCTGTCTTTTGGATGGGAAGCTTGAGGGCAGGGACTGTCTCGGTATTAACCTTATAAACCAGTCCAGGACAGCTTTTTGGCCAAAGGGGGGAAAAGTCACCTTGAGTGCCCTCTTCTCTGCAGCAGGGCAGAGCATAAATCAAATAATAAATAAAAACACGGAAACACGCACTCATGGAATGCTTTGTCCTTTGGCCTTATGCTCCTGGCTGGCTGTTCTTTCATGGCCACCCCTCCGGCGGGGGGGGGGGGGGATGAGTTGCCCCAGGAGATGGCGGCAAAGGGGGTCCCAGGTGACAGCATGGTGGCTTCCTGTGCAAAAAGGGAGAACGGAGCACAGGATGGGACAGCCCCTTCTGCTTACCCAAAAAGGAGGACAAGAGAGGAGAAACGTTTGCGTAACATTGGCTCGTGCCATTCCTCTGCACAGGTGGAAATCTAGAAATTGCACCTGCTATTTAAATAGAAATGGTGAAGAAGCAGTCTCGGCGTGTGGCCGATCTGCTCTCCAGATGCGAAGGACTGGCCTCTTCGAGGCCCCTGCCCTTCCCTTCTGCTTCTTTGACTTTGAAGAAAGCTTGGACTGGACAGCCGGTCAGAGGACACTTTTAAACAGGGTTCTCTGCTGGCTCTCCAAAACAAAGGACACTGCTATGCAAAGTAGGTCACCTGGCCACCCTGCCCCAACTTTGTATAGACTGAATCATTTCTG